CTGAAATTAACACTCTGCTAAAACAGACCATTGCCATGTGAGCAGATTCATCGTCTCACTTTAGGCGCGCCTTCAAAAAAGGCCTGATACTACAAAACATCACCGGAGTTCGAATAGTCGTATCTTTCAACTTGTGCAGTTTTACACGTTAAATGATCAAGTATCATAAGGGCGGCTTTGACCATCAGCAGAAACATGTGTCGGCCGATTTCCTCTAATATGTTTTTATTATTATTTTCTTGAGAAAACAGAAAAAAAGAAGAAAAAACACATTCTGCTTTAAAATTGTGTAAATTCTCTCTGACTCTGCCAAAACAGACATTTTAATCTATTTTTACGAATATTCTATGGTGTTTAGATTTGTTTTATTTTAATTTTTCAACACCAGACAAAATTCTAATAAAAAAGGTCACTAGCTCACTCCACTACAGGGTGCACATTTAAGATTGTGCAATCTCAATAGCGGTCATAGTGTTTTATCAAGTCTTAAAATGAAAGGACGGTAGAGAGGAAACGCTAAAACCTGAGTCAAAGAATGCGGATAAAAATGTAGTCTTTGAAACATCACTGTGTTTACGGGCACTTCAGAATACCTTAACTTTCTTTTTCCTTTGAAAAGGAACGCAAAAGAAAAATAACTGAAGCGCTAAAACCCAAGACTCCAATCCTTCGAATCCTCAGAATCATGTTCTTTTTCTCTCCTCTTCAATTACTGACCGTCGGAATTTTTTGTTAACCTGTCAAATCTCTGGATTATCTTCATCGCGTATTGAAAAGTTTGACACAGAAGAGGGTCATGAAGATATTCTCACATTGATTAATCGTTGAGAACTTAAACGGAGTGTCGGCTGGGTTGAAAGAACGGAGAAAACACCATCAGCACGCCTGCAAAGCTATTAATGAGGGCAAAATGTGACCTCTGACCTTCCACCCGCTTTGCCCGTCCCAGGAATTTTTAACTGGAGCGTAGGTCGTTCTCCCTCTACAAATTTTTCTGCTTTCTCTTATTTCTTTGCCCTCAGCTTTTAAGAGTGATTTGTGAAGAAGAACAAACTTGGGTACCCCGGTACCTGAACAGAGCGCCATGAATTAGAAACAAAACTGAGCGGATTTTTTAAGATAAACAATTGAAGTAACAAAACTGCAACTCAAACGAGTGTTGATTGGCTGTTTCATCTACGGACAAAAGTTGAAAAGCTTGCCACTGTACTTTTTTGAGAGTATTAAAATGTATCGTCTAAATTTGAATCATGGTTTAAATATTAAATGTAGAATTTAATAATCACCGTTATGGGTTTCTACCGATCAAGAACTCATTTCTTGAGTCGAGTCTCTGTGACACATTCCAATACTACCGTGCTAAGGAATAACGCAGTATGAGCCTCCAGACGTTGCCAAGTTTCCTTCGATAAAAACCGAATTTACTGAGAATATTGTAAATATTTTTTCCGGAGTTTTCGGGTAATTTTGTACGCAATTTAATCTAAAATATCTGAAAATTTCGAAGAAAGATGTGCATAAATACCTATCGTCAAAAATACATGTCTTATCAAGGGAAATTTGGCAACTCTCGAATGTACATACGGCGTTTTTCCTTAGCACAGCAGCATAGTGCTGCAATCCAAGAACCAGAATTTTTCCCATCGACTGCGGGTATGTAAAAATTTAATAATTAGTTTGGATTATATTTACGATAAGCTCTCTGACTTCTTAAATTTTCATTTTGTCACAGCTTGTTCTAATAATCGACGAGGCCAATTCTCATGATTTTTGTGGCTATCGACAGGATATACCTAGACTCCTTAGATGAGCCTGCTCTATGTATTTATATCAACTCGTAGAAGCCCGCTCTTAAAAAGCGCTTCCCTCTGAGGATTGCGGGCTGCATAACGACCAGGTGGTGTTCCCGCTCCTTAGTTTTTGATAAAATTTTCACGATTTTTTTTTTATTTCTCATCCAAACAGTCTTGTTTTTTTTTTCAACAACGCCATCTAAAGAGAATCTGCAGAGGAGGTCGAAAGTGCTCATCGCCATGCGAGTAGTTTCATTCTCTAGTTCTAAAAGCGCCTTCAAAAGCGGCCTTATGCCACAAAACATCACCAGAGTTCGAATAGTCGCATCTTTAAACGTATTCGTTTCCATAGGTCAGATGAGCAATATGTTGGTTAATTTCCTTCCATGTGCTATTTTTTTCTTAGAAGAAAACCAAGCGACATTCTAATTTTAAATTTTGTAAGTGTATTTTTTATAATCATGGGGAAATTCGCGGAAAGTCTCAAATCATTAAGTTGCTAGTTTTATTGTAAAAAATTAAAACACAAAACATTATGTTGCTGGTTTCCTCGTAAGAAAATAAAACACAAGCGACAATTTGACAGCATTTCCTTTTTTTTTTAAACTCTAGTTCGGGAATTTGGTCGTTATTGCTACCTGCCTATATACTCTTTTTTCTGAAGTATTAGACGAATGAGGCATACTTTTTTGGCGCTCCCTCTTAGCGCATGGATGACCCGCATTGAGCCGAGCTTTATTCGTTATTATCAACAAAGACACTTACTTCCATGAAATATGTAGTTTCCTGCGAGAACTTTTTAACTTTGAGAGGCTGAGCAATATCTGCAGAAACGGAGCTCGCGGTGAAACAATCTTTGTCCTAGTAAACTTCGTCCATTTATTTTCACCCACCTCCATTCTCCGCGTTTATTTCTTTTCTTCGAAAGTCTGTGAGAAATCACTCTTCGCTACGAATAGTTCCATTTTTGCTGAGGTTGCCTTATGACTTCCGATTCGAGGAGCCTACCATCCTTTATTCATTAAATGAAAAAATATTTCGCTTCAATCCTTGAAACTTCCCTGAGTTTTCATCTCTAGGCAGAGATGATTCTGTAAAAATATATCCAGCGATATTGATGGTTCGTCCTTCTTTGATAAAACAAAATGGGAGCGAAGGTTTTGAAATACCGCAAACGAGATAACGCGTTTTTGCAGTCCAAGGTTGATAGGTTATGCAATAAAATGTGGATATTTTACAAGAGCTTTAAAGGGAAAACTGCTTATTTTCATTACAATCTGGCAACAATGTTGCAGTCTTACCGTCAATATGAGGATATTTCTAACCGAACAGCATACCGACGGTAAAACTCCCTAACCAGCGGGCCGATTATTGAAATTGATAGACAAAGCTATAGACAAAGAAGACATAGGGGGTATAAAGCAATGCTATTGGTTGAAATGGGTGGTTCTCATAGACCAGGGGGGAAAATGATAGACTAACTGTCGGGTCTCTCGTAGGTTGCCGTTAGTTAGTCTATTACCTGCCTCCTTTGTCCATTGCAACCACCCGCCTCTACCAAAAGGATCCCTCCAAATCCTTTTTGTCTTCTTTGTCTATCAATTTCAATAATCAGCCCGCAGGTATCTCGGTTTGCGACGTTGAAGACTTCCTGGTATACTTCAGTTTTAAAATTGACTACTATTCAATGGTAATTCCTAAAACTGCCATGATTTTTCTGCTCTATGCGAAATAGTTCTGTGAAAGCCTCAAGAAACGATGTTGATTTATTCTTTCTTGGAAAAATAAAATAGGAGAGGAGATTTAGAGACACTGCGAATGAGATATGTGGTTTGGGAGTTTCACCGCCGATGTAGGTACCCGTGTGAACAACTACGATTGTTGTGTGACTCTTTTTTTACCGGCAACAAAAAAGCTCTTATATTGTGCGTTTCTTTACCAACATATTCATAATAATACGTAGAAAATTTTAGTGAAATTTTAGAATGGAGCGCATAGTTCTCTACAATGCAGAAATTGCACAATGTTGGCAAAGTTTATTTAGATATGTGATGTTTGGTCGGAAGATCTTCATTTTCTCGTTGACTCTGAAGTTGCTATGTGTTGAAAAGTAAAAGATGACTTAGGTCCTTGTAAGCCTTGACAACGAACTCAAATTTATACTCATAGGAAAAATGGTTTTTTTTTTAGTTTCAGCCGCCAGACGACAAATTGATTTCGTTTATTGTAGGTACTTTAACTATTAAATCTCGTGAACACTTTATCAATTTGTAAAAGGGACATGCACTCTCTGTGTCAAAGGGGTCAACCTTGTGACCCCTTTAACTTAATGATATGATGAAACTTTTCACTTTCTCGTTGTCCTATTTTTTGCTTTGGGTCTGTGCTAGACTCTTCCTGCTTTTCAAGAAAAACAATTTTGATGATAAGCCTCCTCTAGACAATTTTTTGAACAGGTGTACAACTCAGTTTTTATTTTTTACGAATGCGCATTAAAAACAACGTATTGATGATTGGATTCGTAGATATTATTAATTATCACTGTGGAATGTAAAAGTGATAAATAAACAAATTTCTGCGATTCGATGATAAATAAACCACTCCTGGGTGAAAAATACGCACGTGGGTATTCAGTGAACGTGCTATTATGTTTCGTAAACCATTCTCACGTAAAAAAATTATGCATTTAACACGACATCGCTCATAGATAATTAACTTATTCTAACATAATCTATTCCAAATAGATGGCTAATGCGGAGACTGCGAAGGTATCTCAATTGCGACGTTTGAGAGTCTCCAATTTCATATCTTATTTTCTTAAAGGAAACCAGTTTCCTTTCAATTTTATGCGATTTTTTTCAAATTAAGTGGAAAAAATGTACAAAAAATTGCAATAGCTGTCGATCAGTAGTAATTTTAAAAAATAGGAGGAGTGAAGAACGCCCCAATCTGAGGCACGCATTTTTCGACTTTAGGCATGGAAACTTTGCATATGCTTGTTTATTGGTTGGTAAACCGTTATCCACGGATCTAGTTGTCTCCTTGAAAAATGTTCAATTCATCTCGTGTGGCCCAAAAATAAATAAATATAAAAAAAAAAAAAAAAAAAAAAAAAAAAAAAAAAAAAAAAACCTGTTCGGATTATTATGTAAAACGAAGAAACTAGGTAAATGAGGTAGATGAAAAGGGGGAACTAAAGGAGCTTACGCATAGTACTGTGTGGCGATATCCAAGTCACAAGTCATGCTAATTGCGGTTTAATCCGATCACTGATCGCGGGGTTGAGAGGAGAGACGCGCTGCGAGGCGGGTTGCGGGACAGACGCTCGTAGGAGCAGTCCGCGAAATGTGAGGGAGCCCGAGGTACTGAAACGGTCCAAAATACGAGCACATGAGCTCCACTTCGGGTACCGATCAGCATCCCTGAGAGCGGGAGATGCGCGCCCGGCCCTGGCGCAGAATCGTGTCCCATCACACCGACCCGTCGCACTTGGGGTTGAGTCCAGCCGGGTAGCGGACATGAGATTAAATTAGAGAATAAAAACTGAGTGGTGTGTCTATGCAAGGAATGGAGATGTTGCATGTGTGAGGGATTTGCGACTTGACTGTTGATTCTTATGTAAAAGTTCGCGAGAAACACGATGGTGCCACTGGTTTTCTCGGAAATCAACTCCCAAGCTCAAAAAAAGCTCTCAAGTTGAGGTCAAAATGGAGGGGATATCCCACCCTACCCTGAGAGTCCACCTCTACATCAAGACAAACTCTCCATGCAAAGATAGGGAGCAAATACATTAGCAGTGATGCCGTGTTTTCAGTTTTAGAGTCCCCAAATGAAGTGGCAGCAGGCAGCCCTATCAATGTATTTGCTCCCTATTTTTGCAAGGAGAGTTTGTTTTGATGTAGAGGTGGACTCTTAGGATAGCGTGGGATATCCCCTCCATTTTGGCCTCAACTTGAGACCTTTTTTTGAGCTTGGGAGTTGATTTCAGAGAAAACCAGTGGCACCATCGTATTTCTCGCGAACTTCCACATAAGAATCAACAGTCAATCTCAAATTCCTCACACATGCAACATCTCCATTAGAGAATAAAAACTGAGTGGTGTGTCTATGCAAGGAATTGTCTAAAAAAAAAGTCCATCGTTGGAAATTTTTCTTCGAAAATACGAAGAAAAGTTCCTACGATTCAAGAGAATCGACTCCTCACAAGTTCGACCCTTTTAACAGAAGAGAACCCATGCATGTATCTCATACAAATTGCTTAAATGCTCATGAGAATTAATATTCAAATTACCTACGATCAGCGAAATCAATTTTTAACTTTGGACGGCTGAAACTCAGAGACAAATCATTTCTCCAGAGTAAAATTTTAGTTTGATGTCAAGGTTTAAGTCTTCTTTTAATTCTGCATGAATACAAAGGGGCTCTAAAGCCAGAGATTAAATAAGGATCTTTCCGTCTAAATACCACATATCTAAGTAAACTTTGCTGAGATTGTGCAACTTCTAGATTGTAGAGGACCATACGCTCTATTCTGCGATTTTTCTGAAATTTTCTTCGTATTATTATGAATATTTTGGTAAAGACATGGACAATGTACCTAAGTGCTTTTTGGTTGCTGGTCAAAAAAGAAAGAGCCACACATTCGTAGAAACATGGGCGGAACTGGCAAAGTCTCTTAAATTTTCTGAAAGGGGACCAAGTAAATTTGGGGGGGGGGGCTTCTCAAATTGTATTCCCATTGTATTTTCAACGTACAGAGAACGTACGTACGTTTTTTGTTTGTTTTCACGTACAGAAAATGCGTATCAATGACTTTACACATGATTGACAGATAAGCAGTTTTTACATGGAGAAAATTAGGATCTACATTTTTTTCACTTTAAAAATGGCGCAATGCTGCAAAAAATTGTGTAAAATTTACGAATTTTCCCCCGTAAAAATACTCGCGATCTATTTACGTTCTCTATTACTAGAAGGTTTGCTCCTCGAACTTTTTGAATGACCACTTCAAAACACGAAAACTCTTGTTTGGTTTGACATTTTTTTGTCCCGAAATGTTTGTAGAACACTCCTCTATGCTTTGGTCTCAATATTGTTGGCATTTTGTGATGAGGTTTGGATCAAAACCACCTCATGTCCATTTTTTGTCTTGAAAATTGGTCAATTTTGGCGTTACGTCGAGCGATTCAGGATTCCCTCCTCTCCCTGTAACGCAGGTTTTTACCTTCCTCGCCCTGAAGGCTTTATACTTCAAAATGGCCATAAAATATTCGTGGGAACTTAGGTAACTTGTAACAGAAATGAGGGCAATGGCACGGATTTTTTGTCAAGTTTCTACATNAAATATTACCTTGACAATATTGCTGCAATATTGTCAGGGGGGCGGACAACAAACTATTGCAGCAATATTATTTCGATATTGTTAAAATATTGTTAAAATGTTTTTGACAATATTTCTGCAATATTTTTAAAATATTTCCGTGTTGGGCGGGCAGCCAGCGCGAAACACGCATTGGCGCCTACAAACCTAACAGGGATACTTCACGCGTTGCGCAATGCGTGAAGTATCCCTGTTAGGTTTGTAGGCGCCAGTGCGTCGCCGCTCCGCTTTGTGTTAGGCCCCAATACTTAATCTGGCGGTGTCAGCGTTATTCAACTCATGATTTTGAAATGTTTGCACATCCTGTATGGATTATTCTCATTTTAATTGATGAAAAAAAATATGTATTAAAGGAAAATATAATGTGTGTTTTGTAAATATTAAGGTGGTTCCGTATCAAACTTAATGATTTCCAAAGCACACGCATTTCTACACAATTTCTTATAGCCTTTTATGATCGATGGCGGAAAAGCAACAGCCAGGCGATAAAATGTAAAGCCCAGCGATAGGGACTATAGCCCGGCTGCATAATTTTTGTCGCTTCGTATAGCCTGGCCGTATGATTTTCTCCGCATTCTACAGCCAGCTATATGATTTTCTGGAGCCATGGTATTTTGAAACGCAGCTCTTATCGACAATTTTTACCATGGCTTTTATAGTGCTAATTTCACTTCTCAATCATGTCACTCAAGGTTTTTGGGCGCTATATGGACTCCGGCACCGAATTTCACTCCTCGATTTTTAACAATGCAAAAACTCGTAGAGCTGAGGAAATTCAGGGTGAGTCCACACTCGGCCCTTTATTTCACCGAATTTCACTCCTCGATTTTTAACAATGCAAAAACTCGTAGAGTTGAGGAAATTCAGGGTGAATACCTCAACACTAAGCCCTTGTCACCCCCCCCCTTTCCTTTTCCACCCCTCTTTCCATTTCTGAGTTAAATGAAAAGGAGGGGTTGCGATTTGGGCCGAAATCGGCCCCTCCACGGAATTGAGAAATTTTTGGATATACGGCAGTTAACGGTGCATATTTGACAGAAATGATCGAGTTTTGCCGATACTCACGTTTTTGGCTGCGAAACAGGGGCCTAAACATGGGTCCAAAGGCGAAAATAGCTGAAATTTCGCGTTTTTCGCGGTTCCACCTCATATTTCGACCTGGGCCCAAAGGTGACGGGTGATGAGCTTCGAATATGGTGTCAAGGACACCTAGACACGTAACATACTTGAATATGATCAACCGTCGCTTCTGGGCCCAACTTTAAAATCGAACTTTTCCAGATTTTTAGCCCGAAATAGCTGAAAATCCATGTTTTTCGCGGTTCTACCTCAGATTTCGACCTGGGCCCAAAGGCGACGGGTGATGATGCTTCGAATATGGTATCAAGGACACCTAGACACGTAACATACTTGAACATGATTAACCGTCGCCTTTGGGCCCAGGTCGAAATCTGAAGTAGAATCGCGAAAAGTATGGATTTTCATCTATTTCGGGGTAAAAAGTTGGAAAAGTTCGATTTTGAAGTTGGGCCCAGAGGCGACGGTTGATCATATTCAAGTATATTACGTGTCTAGGTGTCCTTGACACCATATTCGAAGCTCATCACCCGTCGCCTTTGGCCCCAGGTCGAAATCTGAGGTGGGACCGCGAAAAACGCGAAATTTCAGCTATTTTCGCCTTCGGAGCCATGAATAGGCCCCTGTTTCGCAGCCAAAAACGTGAGTATCGGCAAAACTCGATCATTTCTGTCAAATATGCACCGTCAACTGCCGTATATCCAAAAAATTTCTCAATTCCGTGGAGGGGCCGATTTCGGCCCAAATCGCAACCCCTCCTTTAATGAAATTTTATTCTGCGAAATTTCATTTCGCATCTCTGGATCTGAAGCCTGCGTCTGCTAGCCCCCGTTGGCCAGGTCCACAGTGCGCCGGACGGTCCGTCCGACAGGGTGGGGACGGGGGTTGTCCGCGCTCATTTTTCACCGGGTAGCGCGATGCCGCTGTATGCGCCGCTGATAAAAAGATTCGTTCCCAATTAGTGAGTGTCACTCAGGATTTACTGTATTAATTCTTCGGCCGCTCTCAACGCCTCATCGAGCCCCCTCTCACTTTCAACTTTCGCTTTCTCCGCCTCCGCTTTTGCCCGGACTCTCAAAGCTCTCTCGTCCCCAGTTGAGCTCTGCGTTTTCGTGGTTCCAGCCCTTGGACGTCCACTTATACTTTCACCGCAGCCCCGTGTCGCATTTCGACGGTGAAACTCCAAGAGCCGCCTGTCTGTATTTGCGACGTTGTAGACTCCCATCATTTATTATTTTTTACATAAAACGACTCAATGTCAATCACTGGAAAAAAAAAACACATTGGATCTAGAGTCCAGACTCTTGAAAACATTGACAAGAAAAAGTACTCTTGATTCAATCGGACTTTTGCTTGAATCGAAACGAAATCCGCTTAAATTAAGAGGCTTGGTTCTTGATTTAAGCTATAGATTCTGGTTGAATCAAAAGTACTTTTTCTTGTCGATGTTTTTAAGAGTCTGGACTCAAGATCCAATGTGTTTTTTTTTTTTCCAGTGATGCTGAAAAACTTCCAGGATTTTTCTTCTCTGCGTGAGAAAAATTCCAAGACAACTTCAAGGAATAATGTTGATGTGTTCTCTTTGAAAGAAATAAAATAGGAGTGGAAGTTTTATAACACCACAAACGAGATACCTCAAGTAGCGCAGGTTGCAATAAGTAGCAATTATTGCATAGTCAAAATATTGCAATTCCACCGAGTGTTGCGTATGCTGCCTAGCTCCTATTTGAAGGGGCCCCGTTTATTGAAATTTATTGCGGTAAAATTTAAATAGGTTGCAATTTTTCATTGCATTGCATGTTGCTTATCTTTCTGACATATGAAGCTCATTTTATTGATTGTTTAAAATCGGTACCAATCGAAAATATTGCAATTTAATGGTAAATAAATTACAATTTTATTGGAATCAAATTGC